TAGTGATTGAATATACGTCATTTTCTTCATCCAAACATCAAAAAAAATTCGAACAATATGAGGTGGGTTATGAAATGTATTTTTTTTTTTACAATTATTTACTTCTATGTGACTTAAATTTAAATATTAGGCATTAAAATATCTTTCTATGAAAATTAAAAGTTTCTGTCAAGAGTATGAGCAAATTTGGAAAGTTTATCTAACAATCGATTGAAATTGTGGTTTTTAAACTTCACTTACTTGTAGTTATTCAAAAATTTAAGATTTTGTTTTAAAGATCCATTTTCCTAAAGGCAAGAGTTTTCTGCAATAACAACCTTAAAATCAGTAATTAGTTATGTATAACAAACCTAAATTTTATAGTTCCTATAAGTTCTTATTTAATCTAATTCTCTAAGTCTTCTTTTATATGAAACTTATTCTGTTTTCAAAGGAAAAAACAGGTTATCAAAGGAAAAAATAAATATCCTTTCAGTTTTTAATTTTTTTGCTTGATTGAATAAGTATAACATATAAAATAGTAAAATTTTATTTAAAATTTCATTCTTTTAACATATGAATTTCATCTACAATCCTATAAAAGTAACACGCAATAAAAATTAATCACAGTGTCTTGTCAAAAATTAAATGAAAACATGAAAAAAATAACTATACAATTTTTCAGAAAAAATACCGTTGATAATACTAAAATCATAGGTGAACTATTAGCTAAAATAATGTTTAAACACTTTCAGTGAGATTCTCAAAGTCTACATTGTCTTGTATTGCATCTCCCTCAAAAATGGCAATAGAATCAGTACAATCAATTAATTTGAATTCACCATCGATTATGATATCAGGATCACTGGACTGTGGTTCATCAGGTGACAGCACGTCAGAAACACCACATACTGGAACACAGTTCTTCAGAAAGACACTATCCAATATTTCCTTCTTAAGTGCCAGTTGTTCAATCGATTGCCTGGCTATAACTTTTCTTCTACGGTAAATTGGCCTTTTAACTCGTCCTTTGAGTACACTATGAACTTTGTCTGCTGGCCTATGGTAATCCGATTCTGAAGCATCATTAACTCCGGTGTGTACGCTCGTAGCCAAACTCTCAGGTATAGGATTTCTATGCATGTCATCATCAGAATAAGAGTTAGGTACTTGATTGGTATGAACCTGGTTTTCCCAATTTCGGAAACATACAGGACAAGTATCATTGTGTTTTAACCAATTGGATACACACACATTATGAAAAATATGCCCACATGGCAAGAGATGTGGCCAGTCAAATTCGGTGTTTAAACACAGAACGCAGTCCTCAAAACCATNTTGATAATACTAAAATCATAGGTGAACTATTAGCTAAAATAATGTTTAAACACTTTCAGTGAGATTCTCAAAGTCTACATTGTCTTGTATTGCATCTCCCTCAAAAATGGCAATAGAATCAGTACAATCAATTAATATGAATTCACCATCAATTATGATATCAGGATCACTGGACTGTGGTTCATCAGGTGACAGCACTTTAGAAACAGCACATACTGGAACACAGTTCTTCAGAAAGACACTATCCAATATTTCCTTCTTAAGTGCCAGTTGTTCAACCGATTGCCGGGCTATAACTTTTCTTCTACGGTAAATTGGCCTTTTAACTCGTCCTTTGAGTACACTATGAACTTTGTCTGCTGGCCTATGGGAATCCGATTCTGAAGCATCATTAACTCCGGTGGAAGGCACGTGTACGCTCGTAGCCAAACTCTCAGGCATAGGATTTCTATGCATGTCATCATCAGAATAAGAGTTAGGTACTTGATTGGTATGAACCTGGTTTTCCCAATTTCGGAAACATACAGGACAAGTATCATTGTGTTTTAACCAATTGGATACACACACGTTATGAAAAATATGCCCACATGGCAAGAGATGTGGCCAGTCAAATTCGGTGTTTAAACACAGAACGCAGTCCTCAAAACCATCTAACTCATTATTTCGTACAGATTTATGCGATGCCTCTTCTTCACGTGGACGGCATACAAGAGCTCTCTGTTTGCGTTTGATGCGTCTTTTATTTGTAGCACTGGCACTTCTTGTAGATACATTTGTCCCAGCCTTCAACGTGCTTAGGTCCTGGATGTTCTTGATCTTCTCTGGAGTTTTAAAAATAATTCTACGATACGAATTTCGAATTTCAAAACACCTTGAGCTACTGCAAGTTGTCATGATCTAAGGTATTATTCAAAGCCTGAAAATAAAAAAAAGGGTACAATTAAAAATGGGCACATAAAATTTTATTTATTAAATTATTTTCTACTTAGTTATGAGCAAATTCATAATTGAAAATAAGGTCGAAATGTTGATTAATTACTAATCAGGCTAATGATTTACTAAATCAGTTATTATTTAAAGTTCTTAATTTATTTTTAAATAATTACTATATATACAATTTTTCTCTATGATTTATTTACTAATTTCAATTTTTTTATTTGTTTACTAATTTCAATTATTTTAGTAAAATTGCAAATTTCAGGAAACCGGATACTTTAAATTCAAAATGTTAATTGCATAATTTTTGTTGAGCAGAAAATTCTTTTAATGCCTCTTAGCTTACATTTAGTATTTATATTTCAAACTATTTCATAAAATAAGTGCAGATTCATTCTAATTAAAACAAATTATAATAAATAAAGATTCTAAGTACACTTCTTGTCCTGTCAATAGTCGATGAAACAATCTTTTGAGTAATTGGCATGTAATTCATTTATTAAATATAAATTGCTTTGTACAAACCCAAGGAGATATAGATTCGTTCGATATTCAAAGTTCTCGGATAATAACAATTGTCTTAAGCAAATCTTACCTATCTTTGCCGGCGTTTGCAATTGCCACGGAACTATTATCAGGCTTTACATGTTTGTCTAAATTGTTTCTAAGTCTTGGTGACTATAATCATTGCAAATGAATTTTATTAAATTAAAATCTAATTTTAAAGCATTTCATCAGCTATCCAAGATATGTCCAAGAAGAAAAAGCATTTAAAAAAAATTTGATATTGTCCAGATATATTACAGAAAATATGTGTGCTACTCTTTTAAAAAAGTTACGTAAAAATTGAAAAATGTAAAACAGGGGACAAAAAGAGAAAAAACAAGTAAAAATCTGCTTTGCATGAGTTTGCTGGAAACTTTTTAACTCTCATTTTGCCTGAATTTTGTCAAAATTTTGAACAAATAGACTTCATTTCCTAAATCACAGTCTTGAAACAAAAAAACAAGATTCTGTGTCATAAACGAAACTAAACTCAGTGGCGCGACAGCCCATAGAGGTCCAAGGCCTACTGTGCCCATCTCAGTTTCCTTGATCTTGGGCTCTGGGGTGCAGGAGCAGATGCTCGGGTTAGGCGGTCAGCCGAACGCTGAACCCCCAGTGTTTAGTTCCCAAGCCTGCTTGGTACTCATTTATCCACCCACTGAAGGGATGAAAGGCTGAGTCAACCTTGTCCGGACCGAGGATCCAACCCCGGACCTGTGGCACGGGAGTGCGAAGCGCTACCACAAAGCCACCGGGCGTCAGTGATATAAAAACATTATAAAAAAGTTTTAATCAATCTTATTTAGAAAGTTTTCCTAAAACAGTTGCATACAAAGTTTTTCAAAATTAGTTATATATAATTTCGTATCAGATGCTTTAAATAACATAAACTAACTTTATTTCTTAAACAACAGCCCGAAATTTCAATGCAA